GGGAGAAACTGAAGCTGCTACACCAGTGGTGTGAAGAACAGGCACATGCCAAGGAGACATGGAGGGGGCAAAGCAGGGACATGGAGCAGAATTGGCCTGACAGTGTCTGCTGCTCAAAGGTGTTCAAAAAGTTGGCAGATGCAGGTGTTTTTGCTCCCAGAGAGAGGTGACTGGAGCAAACCAAGTGTTCCAGTAAAGCAATTCCTCCAGCTTTAATTTATCTACATCTTATCTGACACTTTGGGATAACCATTTGACCTCTGCTTCTCCATCCATGTTCTCCTTTCTCTAATTTCTGACATGTCTTCCTAATTAATAGTGTGCAAACCTGTCTTGATCTCTCTCTTCTCTGTTACAACATTTTTCTACAGTATGTCTGTCTCTGTATTTCACTAACTTAATGTCTTCAAGTGCTTTCTTTAAATGTGTTTTATGGGACACCAGTGAGTGTTCCTGGGCTGTGTTGTAGTGTTACCCTGTGACAGAGGTAGAGTTAGCCATGTGTGGGCAGGGTGAAAAGTTGCCCTTCTCACATTGCCTACTTGCCTTAGCAGCCTTAATAGCGTTGTTTTACTGCAGTTCTCTTTTAGCTTTGTACACAAACTGTTCACATCTAAACTATCTACATAACTGAGAGGGGAATTATCACCAGAACCATTGAGACCAGCACAAAGATGTAATCCACGTCCTCTGACATTTAGCACACCTACACACGGAATAACTCGCACGCATGTAGTGGGAATGTGAGACACCCAGTGCAAATCCTGCCTTGCACAGACACAAGGGTTCCCACAGATGTTGACATTCAGGCTGTGGCACACTTTACCTCCATGCAAGTCTTCCTAGACCAGCCCACTCTGAGAATGGGAGTCACTGTCTTCAGGGAGTGTCCAACTAAGTGTAATTTTTCTCTGAGTGAGATGAGTCCTGCTGTGGCCCTGCCATTTCAGTGGGAATTGACAGCATGGCCCAGCTGGAGAAACATGCTGGCTGCAAAAGGGGTGTGTGAGCAGAGGCTACAGGGGTCAGCTGGGCATTGGGTGGAGAACCAGTGAGAGAGGAGAGAGAAGGGCAGAATGGTGAAGAGCTGTGAAGGCGAAATCACTAAGTCTGAATACAAGAATGGGGACAGGGCAGTGCCTGAGGAGAGGCCAAGGGGATGCAGATGTGGTCAGTGGTGGAGGCTCAGGTCATGGGGATACACAGGGTGTTGGTGAATGGGAAGGTCAAGGATGGTCTGCATTTGGTTGTGTTACAGCTGCATTAGGACAGGATGGGAGAAAAAAAAGCCAGAGGTTTGAAAAATTGTGAGGGAAAATGAGGGATTTGGGTCTAGCCTGGATGTGTGTGGCAGAAGAAGTCAGGCAAAGAAGCCTCACAGACTAAATGACATTTTTCAGTGAGAAGTCAGGGCTGTTTCTTAGGCAGTCTTACACGGTAGAGCAGGCAGTCCTGCTAGGGAAAACAACAGACATACTCTGAACTTTCACAATTTATATCTGGTATTGGTGTTTACTGTAGCTGGCATTCCTCACTGCTCCTTGTCAGCCAGGAGGCTGTGGCCTCTAAATTGGGAACAGCAAAGACTTGCTGACCACACAATGGTTTCTCTAGCATGTACAGGTGCTTAGTGGTTTTCTGCAGGCTCATGGACTCCAGAAACCAGAAGAAAGGTTTGATCCTGATCTCATTTTCTTCCAAACACTCCTGTGGCTGCCCCAACAGTATCCTGACAACAGTGGCAAAAAGAGATGAATTTGTGTTCTAAATGTAGGCAAAAATTCAGAGCCAAATAACAAGGAAAAAAAAAAAAAAAATCATAAAATGGTTTGGGCTTCAAGGCACCTTTGAGTTCATCAAGTTCCAGCCACCCTTGCCCTGTGCAGGGACACCTTCCACCATTATAGGTGGCCAACCTAGTCCAGGTTTCTCCCAGCTTCATTCAACCTGACACTGGACACTTCCAGGGATGGGACATCCACAACTTCTCTGGCCAGCCTGTCTCAGAACCTCACCACCCTCACACTCAAAAATTTGTTCTTAATTATCTCCCCTCTTTCACTTTAAAGCCATTCCCCTTTGTCCTATCTGTACATGATTTTGTAAAAAGCCCATCCCAGCTATCCTGCAGCCGCTTTAAATACTGGACGGTGCTGTAAGGTTTTCCTGGAGCCTTCTCCAGGCTGAACAACCCAAATTCTCTCAGCCCATCTTCATAGGAATGGTGACCCAGCCCCCTGATCATCCTTGTGGGCCTCCTCAATTCTATTTTGACATGCTGCTCTACCGACTTGTTCAGCTTGTGCCAGCTGTTTACAGATTGTTCAATAGTGAGACAAAGGCATCAAATAAAGTTTTTTCTGTTTCTGTGGAAAAAAACATGGTGACATTTTTCTCCATAGAATTTTTAAAGTTTGTCTAAAGCAGGACTTCTTGACAATTTCTCGACAACCTGGGGCTAAACTCTGTTACAGCAATTTATTTGGGATCTGCTTAGCAGATATATTTTAAAAGGTCATATAATAGTGGAATATCTTTCTGGGGCCAGACAGAATTGTCCCCCCAGGCTAGCAGTTGGAGAGCTCTAGCTGCACTAAAAAAAAGTGAAATAGAATGCAAATGCTGTGTTCTTACATGTTGAGTTTTGGGAAATGTTTAAGCAGCAAAGAAGGAATTTTCTTACTTTCAAAGTTAATAAAATCCCTTCTTTTCCTTTAGGAAAAAGTAATTTATTTTTTTATTTAAATTTATTTCCTCAACAGAAAAAAAACTCAACCAGTTTCAGTAGACTTAGCAAAACAAATTAAAAGCCTGATTTCCTCTAATACCATTTACATTTTTACATTGCTTTAAATCTGAAGGTCAGGAGGGTGGGAGGTTTTGAAAAGCAGCGAAATCTAACTGTGATAGTTAGCTACCTGTGCTTCTGTTATTTCTATCCTTCTGGAGGTGATGGATGTAGAAGCATAGTCAACATATTTTTCTGAGACCAGCAGTCACAGCAGGCACCCAGCTCTATGGAAAACTGGCTGAAGCCCAGAGACAACTGGGACTTGAGCCTGGGACCTCAGAGTGAGTGGACCTGGGTATTTGGGTCTCAGAAATTGATATAATTGATATAAGACAACTAAGATCCTAAGAAATCTCTAATTCCTTGTTTTGCTTGTCTGCATGCTTGAGTCAACACTTCCAAAGGGCACCTCCCTATTTCAGCCTTCGATATCCCACAGTTATTTTTGGAGTTCACTTCATCCAACAAGCTGATGTTTAGCTTCTCCCAGTAAAATTCAAGAAAAATTTCTGCTAAGACCCCTCAGTTCCTGCTTAACTCTCAGTCTCAATCTCACAGTAGTTTGGAAGGAACCCCAAATCCCTGCCCACAAATGGGTTGTGTGTCGTGTCCTCATGGGGCTCTGTAGCCATGAGCCTTTGAACTGTGTGGGGATAAGGCCCACAGCTGTCCAGAAGGAACCTCCATTTACTTCTCACAATGTGGAGAGCCAGGCCCAGAATTCCTCTAAACATCGATGGCAATTTAGAAGTGAAATTTCCATTTCTTTAGTTATAGTCTGTGGATCTCTTGAAGCATCAGTTTCAGAGTCAACTCATTATGAGATAGATATATATATATATATATGTGTATATATATATATATATATATATATATATATAAAGCTCTGGATTCATTGGGGCTAATTCATAGTTTTGAGTTCCAATTTGAATTTGCCAACTGCCTCTGCACACCAGGCTCTTTGTCCTTCATTCCTGTACTGCTGGAGAGCTCAGCAACTCAGTGACTCCTCGTGACTGGGAGGGCTGTGTCCCTCTCATCAGGGGTCAGGGCTCCTTCAAACAAAAGGGAAAATAGCCTGTTCAGACCGTCTGTGGATGGACAGGAGAAACTGTGCATAGAGAAAGGGCACAAAATTCTTGAAGTACTTTCTGACATGCACCATGGGTGGCAAGGAATGAGGTAAGAGATTTGGGAGGTGGGCTGTTCAGGAGGGGAACAGGGAAGGCAGCATGGAAAGAAAGCATAGTGTGGAGACTGAGAGTGGTTTTAAAATCAAATGAAAACTCCAATGGGTCTTAACTCTGGAAGTTTGCCTGAGAGACAGAATCCAGATTAGCTGCAAGTAGTAGGAAAAGAAAAGCAATAATTTGTTCTGTTGTGCTTCCCAGGGAGGGTCTGCAAGAGGTGCAGGATGGCAGAGAATCAAAAATTACAGATCCCAGTGGTGGGCACATGGTTGTGGGAGACCCCCTGTCCACCAGGTGTGATGGGAATCTAATGTGGCAGGATCCCCATGCTGCCACACTGCCAAAAGCCTTTAACAGCCCCAGCTTTGCAAAAGGAGGTGTCCCAGTGAGATCCCATACATACATCAGCCCATGGCTGTTGGCTGGCTGAGCCCTCCCATTGTGTGTGCAGCTCAGGGTGTCCCTCCCTGGGGCTCACAGGCAGCTCCAAGCTGTTCTCTTTCTCCTCTCCACTGGTGGGGTGGAGCCAGCAGTGAGGCCAGAGCTGTGTGAGCCAGGTGCAGATTTCAAAGCCATGAACATGGCCTGAACACGGCCTGTCAGCTGAGGCACAGGTTGCCTTGGCCCATCTGTATCTGCTGGGGTGCTGCCTCAGGTCCAGTAGGTCAGAACACATCTCAATGTGATCTACTAAGCAGCCATCACCCCCCAGAAGACCAGGCTTTCAGCAGATGCTTAGCCCTTACCCCCTTGCAGTCTAATGCATCAGAGCTACAGGAAAACTGCCCCCATGGCTCTGTTTTCCCTTCAACCCCAGGAGCTGTTTCTCCTTTTCCTTAGACACAGAAATTCTCCTTCTGCAACATGATCCCCCTGCTGATCTCATAATCCCACCTATGCCCAGCCCCCTCCATTTTGCTCCAGGTGCTTTAGTCTTTGCTGCACCCTCCCCACCTCCCTTTACAAGTCAGGTATTTTCTCACCCTGACAGTGTCTGCAGCATCCTGCTGCTGGTGAGATGCCAAACCTTGACCTCTAAGCAGCACACACAACTCTGAGCATGAGACAATCAGGAGAGAGAGAAGGAAGGGGGAAAGTATTGACAGAAGTAAATTGAGAGAAATCATAAAGCTTAAGCAGAAAGAAAGCAGTTTGAAAGGTAAAGTATTCAGAGAAAGCCCTTTCCTGGATGAATCTAATTGTTTTGTTATCTTTACCCACCAAAGCATTTACTTTGGTTTGTCGCCCGATCCACAAACACTTTCGAGGAGATGACATTACCGAAAGGCAGGAACATCTGCATCAGCTCAGCATCCCCAAACTCCTGGGGCAGATGGTAGATAAACAGGTTACAGCCCTCTGGTCCTATCAAGAGAAAAAGAAGACCCATGAATGAAGAGAAATAGGATACCAGAAAGCACATGGCAGAGATTTACTTTAGCATCTTCTCTCTCTGACTGGTGAGTTGTCACGTTAGGAAGCAGCCTGTAGACTCTCAGAGGAATGGACAAAGTAGAAGACCAGGAGCTCAAAAAGTCACCTAGAGGCTTTGATAACTTCAAGAGTTTTCCCAGGACACCAGGATAAAATCTAGAGAGAGAGGAATGCACCAGTACATGTGGCCATGGAATGAACAGAATGGAGGAATAACAACACAAAGAATGAAAGAATATGGTTCATAAATTTTATTTGTTCCTCATAACCTTATTTAATCTGCAGAGTTTTGGATGACCCACTCAATCCCTTGCCTTTTCCCAGTGTCTGCATGCAGAAGTTTCATTATCCTTCTTGAATCTGTGTGATGCCAATAACATCACACAAATGATGATAATAAGCAGAAAGAAATGCACAAACCCACAGGCTCATCTTGTTTTGTAGAATTTTACATTCATCCCCCCAGCTTGACACAGCCTGAAGACTCCCCCAGATCTGGACAGTTAGGCCATGTCCTCCATTCTAGAGCATTCTGCAGGAGAGATTTTAGGTGGATTTAAATCCAAATTACTAGACAAGAGGGATTGGCTTTTTTTGCCTCAATCCTGTAACATGTACTCTTACCAATTTCAGAGGGTGTTTTGGAAAACATCCAGAGAGGTGTCTTTAGCTGGAATATGAAATTAAGGTAGAGACCCTCAAAAAATATTCTGTTGAAGTTGTATTTTGGGGCAGAAGAGGGCAAACTTGCCTCTTGTTGAATAGCCTAGAATATAAGTTTTCAAACTGACTTGTATTTTTATACATACTATCCTTGAGCAACAGTCAAAAAGGTGTGTCCAAGTGTTTTGTTCAAAAAATTAAGCATTCAAAACCTTTGCAGTGTTTGATAGAAGAAAACTGTATAGTTTGATGAGACAGGGGTTGTTTTTTTATCATTTTATTTCTAAAGGTACTTCCAGCTGCTGCCCAGCTCTGCACTGACCTCGACAGGTAACTCCAGCTCTGCTTGACTCAGAGGGGTCGAGATGAAGGGGCTACATTTTGTGCTCTTTGCCAAAAGGGTTAGAGGCCAGACAGAAGGAGGGTTTCCTCCTTCCCCCTAGCCCATGTGCCTACAACCTTGTGACCTGGCTCAGTCAACTTTCCCCTTTTTACATCTGGGGCATGGTGTGGGGAAGGAAAGGGTTTTTTAATACTCTCGTTTTCTTCATCAGGGCATAATTACAGTGTCATAACACAGCAAATTACAACTTTGCCTTTCCTGTTAGGGAGAGGAGTTCGCCTAGATGCTCCCACCTTTTATTACCCATTACTCATCCCCCCGGCTGGCAAGAGAAGTACGGTGAAGTCAGAATTCTGGCAGATGCCCATTTAAAGCTCATTAAAATTCCTGGGCCTCAGCATGATTGAAGTCACAGGCTCTCCACATTTCCTTTTGGATTAATGGAAAATGAAGCCCTAATGAATATTTGCTAAGCACAATTTTCCCCACTAATTTGCTAAAAGGACTGTCATGAAGGAACAGCTGATCCTTTGCATCTTGCGCATTTCCTAAAGGTCATGAGGATGGTAACAGGGTTTCTTCCAAATGGGGGGGGATAGTGGTATGGTAGGATAATTAACTAATTAGGCACCCGGTCATCTGCTTAGCCAAATTACTTTTGAACCTCAGTGGCCCATAATCAGGCTCCCCTATTCCATGCCAAGCTTTTCCAGCTTCCCCCCATCTCCCGTCTGCCTCTTCTGTAGTCTTCTCACTGAGAAACTATCATTTTTCCAGTCCTTGCTGCCATCCATTTCCACACAATACAGAGTTATTGGCATAATAAGCTAGATATGAAACAGTCTGAAAGTGTTAAACAAACACTAACCCCCTTAGGTGTCTGTTAAAATTGAGAAAATTCTGCCCAGGAGCAGACCATGGTCCAGAATAACGTAGAAAAAATTCATTCCTTCATCTGAACATGCCCCAGAGCACTTCTGCTGTGGGATTTGAGATCCACATTATAATAGAATGGGTAAAATTTTGGCTTTGCTGCAGTTGGTGGCAAAATTCCACTGACATCACCAGAGCCAGCAGTTTGCACTGTAAAACTGGCCAATTCTTTCAAAAATACCAGCTGCATTTCCTGGGGTCTTGGATGTGTTGTGCATGAGTAGGGATTCTGCCTGTGTGTGCTGAGAAACACCTACTAAGTCATAATGCAGGCCAGGAGGCACACAGCTTTAACTACACCACCTTTAGCCTGGGCTCAAGGAGAGAAAAACCCTTACTTCACCTTGAAATCAGCTTTTCCTCATGTGACTCAGAGACCAAGAGGAGGAGACCAGGGAGGGTGTGAAAAGCAGGGACCATTCTCAAAGAACAGCTTAGCTCTAAAATGTGCCTGGAAAACCTGTGCTGTGGCTTCCCCTACTGACCCAGACATTCAAGCCCAAACTCACTTTGTTTCCAGCTACAGAGGGAGTTTTCCTAACTTCCAATGCTGGAAACTTCACTTGCTTCTGAGAAAAAAAAAAACCCCAGCAAAATTGGATAATTTGTCACCCTCACATATCAAATTTTAGAATTTAACAAGCAGTTTTTATGATAAATCTGTCTGTAAGATGCCTGTTACAGTCAGAGCCCTCAGTAAAGAACTCACAAAGCAAGATCTGTCTGCCTCAGTCCTCCTTCCTTTTTTTGGATATGTTTTTGCCTGATTCAAGTTAATTTGGGCACTCCATAGAAGGCTGTGTGCTTGTGTGTATGGCTGTCTTGTTTTATACTTAGTTATATTTTTAAGAAACCAAACACAAGATCATAAGGAAGAAATTCTTTACTATGAGGGTGGTGAGGCTCTGGAATAGGTTACCCAGAGAAGCTGTGGGTGCCCCATACCTGGAAGTGCTCAAGGCTAGGGAGGATGGAGCTCTGGGCAACCTGGTCTAGTGGAGGGTGGCAGGGGGTTGGAACTAGAAAGTCTAAAATGTCCCTTCCAGCCCAAATAATTTTATGATCCCATTTGTTGTTCATCCCAGAATGCTTTAAAGGTCTTAGTCAGTTCTCAGTGCACAATGAGTTCTAAGGGGCTTGCTCAGGATACTGGAGCAACAGAAAAACCACAGCTGGTATGGAAAAACCTTAATGCAGAGTCCAGCTCTCTTTTTGGAAGAAAAGTTATTGTTTTGGACAGAGTTAATGAACTATTTGCAATCAGTATATTTGACAATTCAGGGCTGAGTGCAATAATTAATTTACAACAGGCTTTACTTTTGTTTTCAAAAGGGTTGTAGTGTAGCTTGAAATCTAACCCCCATGACACATCATTAGAAAAACTGAAGTTTCATTTCAACACTGATGTCTGCCATGGCTCTTGGTTTTATGACATGTATACATTTTATGACATATATACATTTCTGTTCATTTATTCAGAAGAACAGTTAGCCTTGATTTGGACAAAAAAGCAAGAAAAGCTTCAGAGACGGCACAGTTTATTTATGGATGTTCTGTAGATTACAGGCAAGCTATGCTGGATAATGGAAAAAGCGGTGACTGAGGGCACAGAACCACATGGTTGGTCCTGAGCTGAGCCATTGATAAGCCATTGCTCTACCCATGCTTCTCACCCTGAGCTCATTGTCAGCTTTTTGGCACAGGGACAGCTGCGGACCCAGCCTCCCCCTGTGTGCCCACCTTCAACATAAGTGAGCTCCATGTCCCTGTTCTGACATCAGCTATCCATCACTTCATCCCAGCACTGCGAGGCAATGTCATGAGGAAAGGCTATGATGAGGCTTGTTTTCCAGCAGTAATTAAAACTGGGCTAACCCATGGGGTTGTATGAAGTCAGGCTGCAACATTTTGGTAAACTGCACACCTCACCTCTCCAGCAAACATTCAGAGGATGGAATTTCATTCCCTCTTCTGCTTGCCCAGAATATTTGAGCACAGCCCAGATAAGAGTCTCAAACTTGTACCAAGAAGCTGTACTTACTAGTTTCAGAGACTACATCAAGATGAGTAATATCATACAAACTTAAAATTATCTCCAAGTTGTGTGTGGTTGACATGGCCTGAATCAAGATTTTATCTGAAGCTGTGATAGTTTTGGATCAGTTCCACCCTATGCGCCCTGTCAGCTGCCGGCAGCCTCAGTGCTCATGTGGATGTAATGACTCATCTCTACAGGAATGTTGCAGCAGCAAAATGTCCCTGGGCTTGTTATCCAACTGGGATCCAGGAGTGGAGAGCTAAGATTGTCATTAACAATGTGATCAGTGGTGTTACTGTGGTGCTAAGATTGGTTTGCTAACGTATGGATGTTTGTGCACATCCTTGCAAACCTAAAATACTCCTCTCAGCATTGAGCATTATTGTTATTATTGAGTTCCCTCTTGCTGTGTTTTCCTGTTAAAGGTTAGAGATGCTTAAAGTTCTTGACCCTCTGCTAAAGGGAATGTTGTGCTTTAGGGAATATTCCTCTAGCACGAAGCAGAGAAAGACACTCAGCACTGCAGGAAAATGAGGAACCCTGGGAATGGCAACCTGCATTGGACTGGTGGCTCATCTCACACTGCTGTCCCCCAGCCATCCTCATTCTCAATGCCAGCTGCTCAAAGGAAGGAGCAGAGTTATGAGATAACTTGTCCACTGGGTGACACTCACTCCTAACCCACAGAGACACACCATGCCTTGTGAACACAGGGGTCTACAGGCAGAGGGTCTTCAAAGCATGCACCACAGCTTCCCCCAGCTTCTGGTGGTTCCTGGCACAGCACTTTGCTGAGCAATATCTGCTCGCCATTTTGTCCTGTGCATAATCTAGCCCCAGTAAGTAATAAAAAGCAAAGTCCTTCAGCATGGGGGAAACATCTCTGTAATGATACGATAGGTCTGTGCATCTGTTCTCACAGCAGGGACATGTACTAGAGCTAATCAGGAGCTGGAAGTTGTGTTCCCCAGGAAATTCTGACATAGGAAAAAATTAATTCCAATTTAGATGGAAATGACGACATTTCTAATTTTCTTACAAAATGAGATTTCTCCCCCAAAGTAGTTTTAGATCACCAGAATGTTTTAGTTTGATGGTGTAATGCAGATTCATTTCATTCTGATTCTTACACTGTATTAAAATATTAAATATAATTACATGCATATAATAACACATATAATAGAGAGTATGTCTGAATTAGTGATCTAATAGAGGATAAAATTTAAAATGTAACTATTTAAAATGAGAGTTGCTAAGTTGGAGAACCTGACTTTAGTGTCTCACACAGGCAAGCAGTCCCCTCCTTCTTGTCAAGAGGGAGCAGTGGACGCCTTGGAAGACAACTGAAATGGAACCAACCCAGAGGACTGCCTCTGAGGATTACACTGTTCCCCACTGACTGTAAAGGAAATATTGCATGGCACAGTTTTCTCCCAAGGCATTTACATGCAAAAATGGTAGATTCACCTCTCCTTACTCTTCATGTCTTCAGTGAAGCCATCCAGTCCTGTGGAGTAGATTACCCAGGCAACTCTCACAGTCATTGCAAAGAAATAGGAACTTTTGCTACATGTTTTTTCTCGTCCTGTTATAGGGATTGTGCTCTGCAAGGTCTGATTGATGTTTCCATATTATTGGTGGGGGCTGAGGGGCTGAAAGGACTAGATCAGCTACTCTAAATAGCAAGTCCTTGTTCTCCAAACAGCAAGTGTCTGAAATGACATTTCTGACTTTTAATGAAGGGCCACTAGTGCTGTTCCCGTAAGGTTCTTTATTCCAATACAATTGTATTTTTATCTGCATTCTTGTTGCTTGTCTCAAAGAGAGGCCCCCAATGGATGTTAATGGCTATGTTGCTAGCTGATCTTTCCATGTCCCATGCACACCAGCATGCTTTCCTCCCTGGGGGCCGAAGAGATCTCATCAGCAGTTCCCCACATAGATGATCCACCACAGTACCATTGATGACAGTGACACCATGTAAATGGAGAAAAACTCAGGGGACCAGGCATTCACAGCAATTAGGTGTTTAAAGGACGCTCTAGGTCCATGAGGAGGGGAACCAGTGAGGTGGGGATGGCTCTCTGGGGTGACAAGGAGGACATCACTTTTACTCACCTTCTCTCTGTTGCTGTGGGATCATGGGAGGTGGCTGTGGGAACGCTTGGCTAATCTGGCCATAAGCAGCAGGATAAGCAGCTAAAAGGAGAGAAAGGGAAACAAGAAAGAAGGGCAGATTTCAGTGCTGGGAAGCAAGGAGCTTTCACTCCAAACCACCACACCAAGCCTGATGTGGGCTTTGCCTCTGTGTTTTGGCTCTGTGAAGGGCCATCTCGTGCAGCCTGAGGTGTGGCATAAGAGCCATGGTCATGCTCCAGGAGGTGCCACAGGGCCTGAAGCATCCTCCCTCCCT